GGTGTATAGGAGGAGTGTAGTTTATATGACACCCACAAATGACTTGAGAGCAGGAGCACTGATGAGATAGTAGGTAAAGCTTGCCCACCTTTATTTAACAAGTTTTAGAAATGGAGAAAGGGACTGATGAGCAGAAAAATACCAAAGTCCAAAACGATCTGAATTTGAACATACTCCGAAATACTAAATGGAAGATTAACTACTGAATAACCACACACAACAGAAAAAGCAATGAAGACTTGTGCAACAGAACATTAAGATGTGATTTAGACGAAGATAACTGACTGTCATGCTCTTGAAAAGAACATCACAGAAAGCAAGTGCTTTAATCACTGGTGTTACCTCTCACGTGAGGGGCAAATTGCCATGTTCCAGAAAACAAGCCCTCCCCTGATAACTGAGAGGAGCTTGTTCAGTACAGACTCAGAACTAAAAGTATCAGTATTAGCTGTTCAGTACGGTTCTTAATGGTTTCCTCACTGTGGATAGAATCTGCTAACCCAGATCAATCCTCCTCAGCCAGCAGATTGATGCTAACCGAAATGCTATAGATTACACTTTGTACTGGGGGCTGGCAAGACAGAAATTAAATCTCAGCAAAGGCCCAATTCTATTTTGTTCACATCACTCTGCACTATGCAAGAACCCTGAACTGTCATTTACAGAGCAATATCTCATACACGCGTACAACACTGAACAGGAGTTCATGACCGCCTATTTTAGATTGCATCCTAACAAATGCTTTGCAATACAAACTGGAAAATCAAGACACTGACAGTCTAGTTTTAAAAATTTCAAAATACATCATTTCTATACAGCAAGGGTTCAAGTATCACAGTATGAGCAATAGCATAAAAATTAAGATACAGCAGGGGACTCCCCAGGTCAGTTACTGCCAGCCTGATATGCTAGGCAGAAGTAAGGTTTAAGAACTAAGAATATAAAGTGCTGGCATTTCAAATATTAATAGTTTTTTGGGTGTTTTGGGTTTTTTTAAGTAAAATTAAAAAGCAAGCTTTATGAAGGAAGCTGCCTGTATCTTCATATACGTGTGGGTACATCTCTCTATATAACATATGTTCGTCTATTTCTTTGTTTGCAGCTGTTGTTAAATGATTACACTGATGTTTTCTTTGACATGACAAACCTTGCCTACAGACTTCAGTGTACCTTAAAACACCCTTTTTATGGCAGAAGACAAGTCATATCTGCGTATCTGAAAAAGCACTCTCAACCATCCAACAGCCTCACCCAGACGGCAGCGGAGGTAACATCCTGTATGGTCACGCTCAGCGGCAAGCAGAACCACTGACCTTTAGCGGCTCTGAGGCAACAGTCCTGTTCAAGAACTGACACAATGGAAAATCCCAAGACGAGAAGGGAAGGAAAGTGCCAGGCCCTGCCTGCTTTTAAAAGGAAGAGGCTATCAAGCAAGAATGGACAGGGTGTTGACAGAACCAGAGGAGTCAGCAAAAGGAGCAAAAGGCAAGAAAGACTGGATCTCGAGGGGACCAACTCCTAAAGGTGGTAAGAGCTCTGATACAAAACATGAAGCGATTCAGGTGTTCGTTGCCTTCCTGATTAAACATAGAGACTAACCTATACATGTGCATGCATATGTTAAAAAGAGCTTCATAACGCACAGGTCTTGCTCCAGTCCCAGTAGACTCCGTACAGGGAACCTGTACACTGGACTACAGTGTGCAGAGCTCTGAGAGGCTGGGGATATTCACACCTGTCTGAAGACATAGGAACTTCAGTCCCTCACCCCCAAGTTCTGTAGTCTGCGTTTGAAAAGCCACCTAGATTCTACCCACTGGATTTGGAGAGCACTCAGGATCCATAAGTTTACGTTAATGATTACCATAAGGGGCTACATAACTCAGCCAGCTGTGTAATGGTTCCAAAGGAATTCATTCCAAGAGCAGCAGACATTGTGTAGACTGGATGGCAGACAGCCACTCACCTAGCCCTCCCGTCGCTGATGCTTAAACATAATGCAGAGGACAACGGGTCCGAAGACCTGTTTCCAAGCATGCCAAAAAAGTACATAAACCACTTTCGCAAAGTTCAGGAGATCGCAAGCTGACGAACTTCTGTTTTGCAAAAGGTAACCTGTATTGTTGCAGCTGTGTTTCCTTCGCACAGGACTTTCTTGGAAAGCTTTGTTTCTCAACCACATCAAACCCATGCCCCCCCAAATCCCAGTGATGTCCTGCTAGAACTGAGTAACTGAACAGAAGCGATTTTCTCACCCTTCAGATGTTCCTTTCCAGGCAGCAGTGGGAAATTTTAGAAGGGCAGTAGGGGGAAAAGAATTTATTTGGATTGTCCAAGCTGCACCTATTCAGGGAATAAAGAGAGGTTTCCAGGCTCCAGCCCTTTCCATCTGGTACTATTTACCAATCCCATAGCTCATTCAGTGGCTCAGCAGGGGAGGAACTGACACTTTGCGCTTAGCTGGCCAGAAAGTGGTACACAAAAAAATGCACATGACATATTGATCCTGTATGTTCATTTGACAAGATGTTTTCTTCTTCTCTGGAGCTCACAACACCGACGCAGGAACCGATCCTAAACCCACCGCATTAGTGAAAAATATCTGCCTCTCTTCAAAGCAGCAGGATGAGCCACGGCCATTTTTACATCCAAAAAATACAGGGCTTTCTCAAATCACTGGGATTTTTTGCCTAAGTATTGTTACAGCACACAGCTAAAACTATGGAAGTAAGAGACCTACTGAGTTCATCCCTTTAGCACCCAGGACCAGTGAAAATTTTCCAAAGAGCGTATGATTTACAGCTTGCCCGGTTCAGCTAAATTATAACTCCAAATACGTATTTCTATTTAACATTGCTGAAAGCTTTAGCGAGGATAAGGACAGTGCGGGAGGCAAAGATGGACATATAAGGCGACTGGATGATATATGGAAAATATGAATAAATCTAATTGCCATTGCAGCCGCAATGAACAATAATCACTTGACTTAAATCTCTGCATACATATCATTTCTATGTGACACTTTCCAATAAATAAGCATGGAATAGATGCTCTTTAAAGAGTAGTTTAAAGTCCACACTGAACATACTTTCACCAATAAAAGAAACAATGAGGGAGGAAAAAAAAGCTTTGCTCACACGAACAAAACCTGAAACAGCTGCTTCTATACATTCTATCATTTTTCTTCCTGGATGTGAGCAAAAGATATTTTATTTCTCACCTACAGTAGACTGGCTGCTGGAAAAGGCCCTTCTCGTTAGAAACCAAACATTTTAAATATGAAACCATCCAGAAGTTACAAACCTTATAAGACCATTTTCACCAGAATTGAAATATTATCTAGATACACATTCAAAGATCAGACAGCTCACGTGTTTTCAGGTTGGCTATCAAAGCACTTTTTTCTTCTTGTGTTACTAAGATTTGAAGCTATTGCTCCTGTCAAATCCAAAGCACGCCAAACGCTTGTGAGAGTAAAAGAGAAGTTTGTTATCTTGGTATCAAAATAATCCATCGCTGAGGACGGAAGCAGGACAGTGCGAGGGCATGCATTGATTTTGCTTATCTGACTTTGGCAATGGCTTGCTCTGTCTCCCCTTGCTCTTCTGAATAAAATTCTTTAAAAATACAGCCAGATACAGAGACGACAGACTGGTATAAAACCCCCTTGCTGAGGTGAAAGGAGAGAGAGGTATCTGAACACGCCCACTCTAACTGGCTTTAGAGAAAAACTTGTAGCATGGATAGTGAGCTGTACAAAATGCTCTTATTAAAATAACGCCATATTTAAAGGTTTTCAGTTTGAGCAATGATGACTGAAGATCAATGACGTTTTCATTAGAAATCCCTAATAATAAATACAGACAGCGAGGAGGACGTATTTTGGAAATCGAAGTAACTTTAAATATTAGTAGGCTTATGTACATTTATATAAACTTATACACCTTAAAAAGCAGGGGGAAAAGGGGCTTTTTTTTCTTCTTTATATTTTCACCTGGCTTTGACTGATGGATAGATGTAATTAATGAGGGATTTACATATAACACGTTCTTCTAAAGCTTTGGAAATGTTTACAAACATGATTAGAAGAATGAATTGTCCTGTCAAAAATGAAAATAAAGTTGTTCTAAAAGTTAAAAGCCTTTCTGATTACTTCTTACATACCTAACCTGCCTCAGTTCACAGCATCTGCAAACTATGCAACTTACAAACAACCTAGCAACGTACAAAAACCAGACACGCAGCAACAGGCCCCAGTCCTTTCCCAACTGCCAGCATCTCCATAATCTGCCACGGCTGATGGGCACAATGCGATCATTAGCACGCGGGGTTCAGACAAACACCGAGCTCCAGCAGAGTGTTAATAAAAGGTCTAACGATGAACAAAAGAAATGTTGCCCTCAGGAAATCGACGGATGGTCTGGATGATCTAATACGTGTTCTCCACTCTAAACTGGATGAACTGATATTTTGCTGTTGTGGCATTTGCTGATCTGTCCACACGCACAGGGTGATTACACATCGTTACACCGAACGTTATTCTGACAGCAAGCAAATTCTCAGCTTCAGACGCTATAACCCTCTGTTTAACACCACCAAACAGCCGCCTCGAGCAGATACCAGTCACCTACTTCGTTAAAGTTTTATTTCAAGAAATTCCCACTCTGCTCGCTGCCTGTAGCACAGCAACGAGTCTTCCTGCCTTTAAACAACTAAGACCAACAAGCATCTCTCTAGGCTCAGGGTGCACAGCAGCGTGTGTAAAGCAGGAAGAAAATTCAGATAATTTCTCTGATCAGGACAGGTCAACCTCAAGTTTCAGGCTTAGAGGAGAAGCTTTGTGTCCCACCGCACGGGGCCTGGGTTCGCCTGCTCCCAGGGACTGCCCCATGTCCCGTCCGCTCACGCCAAGCCGAGCAGGAGCCCTGGCAAGCCCGTGCGCCAGCTCCACGCTCCTGGGTACTTGCCGAGGGCGGGTTGGGAAGGGAGCACCTGGCACCAGGAAGATGTCCTCGGGGTCACCGTCTCCCTTTTGATCCCCACCCTTCGCACCCGGCTCTCCCCAGACGGCGCAGCGGCTCTCAGAGGGACTCCCTGCCCTGCTCAGAGAAGGGCTCAGCAGCAACAGACTCTTGCTGGGCCGCCTCCTCTTCCAGCCTGGGGAAACCCTACCGCAGGGAGGCCAAGCGGGGCGAGAAAGCCCCGGCTCACGCAGTCAGAGGGAGCCTTCAGAGGGGTCTAGGCACTGCCCGCAGCAGAGGGAGCAGGAGGGATGGAGTTCGCCTATGAGAGCGGTAGTGGGAATTGGGGCTCACATCTCACCATGGGCCAGAACTGAAGGGAAAAAGGGAGTGGAGGGTGGAAGGAGACTGGGAGGAGCACCGAGGCAAGCAGCGGAGGGCGGGAGGAACGGCACGGCACGGCTAGCGAGGCCCGGGGGAGGCCGGGGGAGGCCCGGGGGCAACGCACCTGGTACTCCTCCACCTCGGCGCCGTGGCGGTCCTGCAAGGCGAGCAGCTCCTGCTCCAGCCGCTCCCGGAGCCCGCACAGCTCCTGGCCTTGGCGGTGGAGGTCCTCCAGGTGCTGGCGGCACTGCCGGCTCTCCTCCCGCAGCAGCTCCAGGTTCTCCCGGCTCCGCTGCGCCTCCTGCTCCTGCAGCACCTGGATCTGCTCCTGGTAGCGCAGCAGGGTCTCCCGGCAGCTCTGGCTGAGCAGCATCTCGTAGGTCTCCTCCAGCTCCTCCAGGCTCAGCCCGGCCAAGGGGGGCGGCAAGGCGGCCAGGTCCATCCGCAGCTCCCGCACCTCCACCGCCTTCAGC